TTGGTCCCTTTTACGCCGGCGGTCGTTGCGAAAGCACCCTCGCCTCCGCGAAGCGAAGCGAAGTGCAGCCGTTCGCGGCGATAAAGAGCGCGAGAGAGAACGTCGCGTCTTTGCACCTGGGCGTGGATCGGTCGGTCGGTCGGTCGATCGGTCGGTCGGTCGTCCGCGACATTATTGCCCGTTCTTTCCCTTCGTCGCCGTGTGCCGGCCGCGCGCGTGGGTGTTCCGAGATACGATAATGCTCGATCATCTCGCGCGCACGCAGCCTCCAGCCGTGGCCGAGCGCGTCCAGCTTTACACGCTACTCGATTCGCGAACGCGCGCGCGCGCGCGCGCGTGCGAACACCTGCGACGAAGATCTCGACGTGCACATACGCAGTTGGACGCGATGAGAAATCACAATCAAGGATGATACACCGAAATTGATATTTTACGTGATATGAAATTATATAGCATATTATCCATAATTGAATAAATTGATTATATTTAGAAAAAATTCTTGAGAATAAAATAGGATAGCATTAATTCTTTTTAATAATTTTTTTCATCAGATGAGGAATCAGATTAGCGAAATAGCGAAAGCAATTTAACAAAAATCGAAGAAAACTATTTCAAGTGTACATTAGTTAATTACACACGTAATACATTCTATATATATATTGTAGTATTATAAAGGTAGCGATATATTTTGAAAGTAGGCAGACTTGCGTCACGAAGCTAACAGCGTAAATTTGTCAAAGATGTTGGAACTTTTACATTTGAAAAATGATACTTGGCGCCTTATAATTGCACAGTTGCGCAACTTGAGACAAGTCTCGTCGGTCCCGGCGTGAGAAAACGAGGTCTTCGCCGAGACCGGGCGGACACTCCGCCGGTGCACGCTGCGGTCCCTTTGCTCCTAGTCGTATAACTCGTTCGGCGAGAGGAAAGAGGGATAAGAGGTGGACGAGGAGGAGGGTACGGTTTCGATGGCCGGCGAACGAGCGAAAATGCGCCGGCTGCGTTCGCCGTCGAACGCGGCGGGAGAGGCAAATGGGTTTCGTCGTGTCCCAGGGCGACGTGGCCGCGATTAATGACGAAGTGCGAAAGCACCAGTCAGGCCAGGTATTAACGGAGGCGAAATGACAGAAAACGGAACGCGGCGAGATTGGGCGATGGGGATAATGGCTGCTGCGGCGGTAAACGAGAGAATACGAGAACGAAGGGAAGAGGAAAGACAGGAGAAAGAGAGAAAGAAAGAGAGAGAGAGAGAGAGAGAGAGAGAATACACGGGGAGCGAATTAGATTCAATAAATAGATCGTCCGACGAGATAAATGCCCTAATAACTGGCTTAGGCTTGCACACACCCAATCGTGGCGTACATTTCGCATAGCGAGTGAGAGACGATCATTAGCCTACGACCGGGAGTGTGTAAATTCGAGACGCCGCCGTCTCGGTTCAATTCACTCCACTCGCGCTCGCACGACGCACAAACACCTGTCACGAGCGGCGCGCCGATCCGATCGGTGTGCACGCACGCGCCGTGTAACGCGTTGTGTAACGACACGCCGACCCACCGTGAGACCGTCGTGGACGCGTTTCACGCTCGCCTTCTCGGCCATTGTAGCTTCTTTCTTCGCGTCGGCAGCTCTCGATCGCCCGACCGCCGACGACACGCTGTGGTCCATTAATCTCTCATCGATGGCACTGACACTGATCGTACCTACGAGCTATTCAACGCCTCTCGCAGCACGTGTATCAATCTTCAGCGAGTTATCGTTATTGTCCCAGGCCAATTCTTTCGAATAAACGCGTTCGATTCGTTCGAGGGTCGTGATGAAATCCGATAAAATGTCGAGCACTTGAAGTTTGCTTTGTTTGAAACACGCGTTTGTTTGTAATTTCGTGGAGGAAATTATACGTTACGTAAACGCGAGGGGACTTCCGTAAAGAAATAATTGGTATTACGAATGTAATGACGCGTGTGTACTTGAAATATATGTCAACAGCGACATCATGAACGAAATTCAGTTCATTATTTTGAATGAATAACTGAGAATGAGTCGATTCAACAGCTTTAAACCATTGATTCAGCATTCATTTAAACGCAAATTCGAGAAACGATTGGTGAAATCGTCGTATAAGCGACTCAATTCTTCCGCGGCTTACGGCAACGGTAATAGGCGTCCGTTTCGCTCGGGAATCTCGCGAGCGGGCATTTCGAGAGCCATCAACGAGCAACTCTCACGACTCACGCGGCGAAAACGCTCTCGAGCGACGAGAGCGAATACCGGGGCGCGCGAGGCGATAACTCTGTCCACCTATATCTGCGCGAGCGGCAGCTCGGGAACGGCGATGTGATACGCTAAGCGTTACGTTATTTACGGCGTGTTCGTCTAATTAGATAATGGCGCCGATATTTTATATTCACGCGTGCGTTCACCTGACCGCCGCGCGCTGCCCAGGACGCTTGCAACACACGGCCGGGCTCTGCAACTGGCGACCTTCGCCGCCACGTCGCAAATCGTTACGACCGTAACGCGCGGCTCGCGGTAAATCGACTCGGATGAGTGCGGCGGCGAGAACGCGTGTTAATAACACGTGCTCGCGCGTAATCAAGTTAGAGGATCGCGGGGAAATTAGAGCCGAAGTATAATGCTCTCGCCACCGTGTCTCGGAGCGTCTTAAGCCGTCCAGACGAACGTTGTACTTTAAACGCACGCAAACATGCGCAGTAATCGGAATAGTAAACGGTCGATTAATCAGAATAGAAACAGAGAGAAAAAAGGAACGCGCTATCTTTGACACGTTGAATATCGCTTTGTGCTTTATACGACGTCGCACGCGTCGTATTATATCCCTCGCGAAATTGAATACCTGGCGGGCGAGCGCGCGGCTCTTGACGAGTTGCGCAATCGAGGAATAACGATCGTTCGGAGATTTACTGCGAGGAAAAATCACCTCAGGCCAACGGCGAGCGGAGAATTATCTATCATTCGGGTTAAATGTTACGTCCGGTGAGTTCTCGCGGCCGCGGCTCCGGCTTATTTCCCAAGAGAGGAGGCAGTGGGCTTTTATGTCGATGATCGCTCGCGGACGCCGTATCATTACTCTTCATACGGGACCCCAGCGACGTCCGACAGCGAAAGCTCCGTTACCGGAGTAACGTCTATCCCGCTTAACTCGCGAGATCGACGAGCCTATCGTGCCTCGTGCAGATTCGTGCCTAACAATAACATCCGTAACTGTCCATTGTCGTAGCGGCAAATGAATCAAACGCGGTAAGATAGTAGTGACGCGGTAATTCCAAGCCGACGGTGTTAGGCGCAAATATCATTAATTCCCCGACTAACATTCTGAACAAACGGAACGTTAATAATTCATGAGGGTTTCGCATTTCGCAAACTGAAATCTTTGATTCTTACGAAACAGTATCATACAAACGTATATTAATAATAGATAAATTTTTTTTCTGACATTTCAAAGTACCCTAAACATATGTATATATAATCAAACTGTACCTTACGGTGCTTTCGCAATTTTTTAAACTTCTACAGGACAATTAATTAAGAAAACGGGAATTATCGTTTCTGCATGTCACACGTGGAAGATTATGCATAGCGTGGAGATTAATAGTAACAAATATCATGACGTTTAATATGAAAGTACGAGCCGTGTTGATTCAGTATGCGTGCCGGAGTTCTATGTCGTTTCGCAGGCTCGAGTCGCAGGAATCTCGCGTTGCCTTGTCACGCGCGTTGCGTGTGCGTTCGCATGACAGATACTCCGAAATGCGCTTCCGCGCGGGCGTGGGCGACGGTGTAATCCTACCGCGTGGTCGCCCGTTAAAGTCGCGTTTTTTTTTCTCTACAGGTGGATGATAAGGCCGGCCTTAAGGTGTACAGTTAGGTGTGACGTAATTGCAACGGCAGTCGGCAAACTCGGGTTGGGGGTCCAATTATCGGGCTTCTTCCGGTTCGCAGCCGCGTATAAAAGCGTCGCGTCCGCGGTGTCATCGGACGATTACAGACGCGCGAGAAAAATCGCGAAATTATTCGACGAATCGCGGAAGCGAGATCGTCTCTCTCGTGCCGCGGGAACGGTCTCTTCCTCGTCTCCGCGGCCGCCGGCCTAATCCGCGACAATCGCATAAATACGGCGCAAGCGGAACAGGAATCTCGTAACGCCCCGTGACTTCTCCGTACGCCTCGCGCACGGTGGTCATCCTGATTAATGTCGCATGAGTCTTATCTCTTTTCGGAGTAACGGGGATGATGCTTGAAATGCGACCGTTTACGGTCGCGTGATCGCCTAGATATATCACCGTGTATACTTTCTATTCGCGTATATAATGTTAAGACTTGGAAAACGCCGGAAATACGGTGTTTCGAAGAGCGAACGGGTTGAGTTTATGAGCCATGCATTTAGATTTTTTTTCCTTCTTCTAGCTATTAACTTATGTATCTCGTGATAGATGAATATACATAACTCAATCGAGAGATAGTAATATTTAATAAGAAAGTGAACAAATAAATTGCTTTTCCAGACGAATTTACAATCCCATTAATAAATAAAACTTGAATTGAGATTTTTTTTATAAGTAAATTTTAATTATGTAATTTTATCATTGTAGAAACTGTTTTGTTTAAAAACTTTTTTTCATCATAAATACCAAAGAAAACTGCAGAAAATAATTAGCGAAAATAATTGCCTTCTTTATTTTATGCATATACAATTTTTTTCTTGTAATGATTAACTGTCGCGCTTTCTTGTACGAAAACTTCCGGTATACTGTTTTTTTCAATCGATATGCCATAATCTATCCGCGCGATTCCGTTGACCTCTCTTAACGCCCGTTTCATTGGCCGAGAGAGTTGGGATGCCAAAATCAATCAATCACCGACCATCATCGTCGACGTAACCCCGAGCCCGGCCGAGGCTTTAACCATGAGTTAGTTAACCTCGCGCGCACCGAGACGGTTCCGGCCGCGTAGATGAGAAAGGAAAAAAAAATTCTTACCTGATTGATGTCGCTGCCCAAATCCCGCGCGCTCTTGGCGCTCCTCAGCTGATACCCGCGGTACTCCCGATACCTCATGGTCACCTCGTCGTCGGTCAAGGCGCCGCTGCTGCCGCTCCTCGCGCTCTTCTTGCTCTTCTCCTCCTTCGCCTTTTTCTCCTTCTTGCTGAACAGCTGCTTGACTTTGCTCATGGTGCCGCTCTTCTTCGCCGCCTTCTTCTCGTACTTCTTGTCGGCGGCGCCAGAAGGCGGCTTCGCGGTGACCAGCGGCGGCTTCGACGACGAGTCGCTCGCGTACTTGTCGTACTTGCGTTGCTCGGACGTCGGCGTCAGGTTCATGTTGCGATCGGTGTGCCGTCGCTCGTGCTTGATAAACTGTCGGTTGACGAAACCCTCGTCCTCGGACTCGAGCTGCTCGCGCCTGTCCGCCTCCTGCGAGTCCCTCCTGTAATCGTTCTCGATCCCGGAATCGGCCAGCCGATCCTTTCGATCCGGATCGCTCAGCCTGGTTTCGCGATGACGGCGCTCGGTGTGTCCTCGCACCTCCTGCCTCGCGTGCCGCGACTTGCCCTCGTGATAGGTCCTAGGCGGTCTGGTCGGGGCCTCGGTGAACGTCTCCAAGCGACTGACCGACGACACCTTTCCGCGCGGACTGTCGGAATCGTCGAAGTAGTCCAGCCGATTGCGCGATCGTCTCAACGGTTTCTTCGGATCGTCGTCCAGCTTGCGATGCTCCTTCCTCGTGGCGCGCGTATCGTCGTAGCGGGTCTCGCAACGTATCGAGTCCCTGGCGGTGGTGTCCGAGTCGTATCGGCTGGAATTGTAACCGCCGCGATCGGTGCGTATCCGCGGCGGCGAGCTGTCGTAATCGTCGTGGATCGGATGCTTGTTGCCGCTCGTGTACCTCTGCGTGGTGCGCGTCTCCTTGTAGAACTTGGACTCCAGCTGGCTGCTGGTCATCTGCGAGATATCGGTGTCGTAGTCGTCGTTCGGGCCCTCGCGCAGACTGTCCAGGTGATGCTTCGCGAACGGCGATCTCTCTTTGCGCCCGTTTATCGTCGGGCTATCTAACAACGCGGTCGGGCGTCTCATGTCTCGCGCACTAACGTAACCCGGGCGGCTGCTCAAATTCTCGTGCGACCTCGTGGTGTACTCGCTCCTGAGCGCTCGCACCCTCGCGTTCTCACCGACCTCGTCCAACCGCTGCGTCGACTTGCTCATACCGCGGATCGACTCGAAGGGCTTCTTCGTCTTCGGCAGATACGCGTCCCGTTTGATCGGCCGGCTGTCGCGGTCCAGGAAATCGTCGCTCTTCGAGAACTTGCGCTCGTTCAATTTTTTGGCGATGATCGGCGACGACAGCTCATCGTTCTCTCGTGACTCGCTGCGGAAGTGATTTGTCGTCGTGGAGGTTCCCTCAGGCAGATAATGCGGGGACTTGTACGGGCTGCCGCCGTTTCTGGTGGTCTGAAATCTCTCCTCGGGGCTGCTTCGGCTCCGATCGCTGAGAAACGGCTTGAAATCGTCGGTGTAACCCTCATGCGTTCGCGTTTCCACGATGTACTTATCGCCGTATTTGTCCGTCTTGGTTTCCACGGTATAACCGTTCTTCGGTTTCGTGTCGAGGTAGCCGTTCGTCGGGAGTTTGTTGGTGATCTTTTTCTCGTAGCCGTACACCTTGCCGTTGTCCTCGTGTATCTCCTTCTCGAAGATGTACTTCTCGCCGTTGCTGTTGGTGCGCGTCTCCGTGATGTAGGTGTCCATGTATCGTTTCGGCGACGCGATCCGATTCGGCGTGACTGGCGACGGCACTATCGGCTTGTCGATTATCTCGTGCTCGCTCGACTTCTTTACCGGCACGTTCGCGCTGTTCTTGGCGGCGAACATCTCGTCGGCCAGCAGCCTCGACTTGATCCTGGACTCCAGCAGATCTCGCCGGGCGCTCAATTCGGACGTTTTATGCGAGATCCCGCTCTCGTTCTGCCTCGAGGACAGCTCGCCGCTGTCCCGTCGTCTGGCATCCATACCGTCGGCCCTACCTCGTCCGGAAGTGTCCACGAACACGGTCGAGGTGTATTTTTCAGGTTTGTCATAGAGACGCCTGTCGATCTCGTCGAACTCGTGACGCCTCGTGGTTTCGGTGGTCCTCGTGATGAAGTCCTTCGAGCCGCCCAAGTGTTTGCTGAAGGGGCTGCTACTCTTGCGGTCTTCCTCGTATCTCGACTTGAAGGCGTTGATCTCATTATTGCGACGCAGATCATTGCTGTACGAGTAGTCGGTCCTGCGGTACTCCTTCTCCGCGGGACTGTTCTCGCGAGAGGAGTCCTTCCTCTCGAGACCGAGGCCCTCGTCGCTGTCGGAATGGCTCCGCTGGGCCTTCTTCTTGTCCGGCTGCACTTGCGCGTAAATCACGTTGGTCTGCGCCAGCGGCGGCGGGCTACAGGAGTCGTTTGGTCTGGTGTAGGAGAACGGCCGATTGTTGTTGTGACCGAATCCCGGCGACGGCGACATCATCGTCCTGGTCAACTGCGGCGGCGGTGAACGGTCGTTGGACAGTCGGTGGATCATCTTGTGAATAGTGGACTCTCCGTTGTTGCGTTTCTGAAGATCGTAGCGACTGCTGTGTAGCATGCCCGCTTTGTCGACTTCGTCTCCCCCGTGTTTCGATTCCTTCGGAGGCGACGGGGTACGGCTGGTCCCCGCGGACTTTTGATCGGTCTCTTTCTTCTCTTCGTCGTCTCTACCCTCGACGAATATGTGATGCTCGATCACCTTGGCCTCTCGGCTGGACGATCTACTGGCGGGCTCGTCGGTGCGTACTTCGGTCGTCTCCTCGATCGTCTCTCTCGCCTCGATGTCGCCTCGCGATATCACCTCGTCGACATCGATAGTTGGACTCGTTCGCTCCTCCTGTTTCTTGGGCTTCTTCGGCTCCGGTCGATTGTTGTTCTCGCGATCCGCGGTCGCGGTGCCAAAGTGGAACGGCTGCTGATTGACGTGCGGCGACGACTCGATTATCGGCGATAGCTGCTTTTTCTCTCGCTGGCTGACGGTACTCAGGTGCGAGCCCTCGCTCTCGCTGCCGCTCCGCTTGCGTTGCGCACCGCTGCGCGTCCAGGAGCCCGCGTCGCTCGCGCTACGGCCGACCGGCTTTCGGCGCCTCTCCAAACTCGGCGAGAAGAATCGTGCGAGCGAAGCCTTCAGCTTCTTCGCGCTGGCATCGCTGGCGCTCCTCTCCAGTGGTTTCTTCCTGGCCCGCGGTGTGTCGAGGTCCGCATTCGCGGTCGTAGCGCCGATCTCCTCGCTACCGCGGCGGGATCTCACATCGATCGGCAGGTCGGGACGTTTCTTGTTGCGACGCGCCGGCAGGGTGCTGAAGCGACCGGGCAGGCGTCGATTGTCGTGCGCCACGCAGTGAAGGCTGCCCGCTTGCTGCAGGACCAGGGCCGCCTCCTGTGCGAGATCCTCCTTGCTCTTCTGGGCGATGTTCTCCTTGCGGACCGGGGTGGCGATCAACCTACCTTCTCCATCGCCCACGAGAGCCGCGGTTACGCGCGGTGCACCACGTCCTGCAATTACGAGCGCGTCGGTATTTAGTCGCGCCTGATTCCATCATGCGCGATGATTACTTTGAACGGTGTTGTATAAAAGTAGTTGACTAATTCTAATAAAATACATTGTACTTTACTTTAAGCAATGAAAAAAATTTATGCATTTTGAACTGATTTAATTTATTTAAAAATATTACTTATGAGTTTTATATATTACATAATATCTTTATGCAATACCGTTCACTTATAAAAAGAAGAAATAATATAAATCAAGAAAAGAAATGTTCGACAAACTAAGAATTCATTTTGGAACGATTTATTAAAGTATTTTCAGTATAGATATCTCTTGATATATTTCGTAAGAATAAATGAATTCGTACCAAAATAATTAAATTCGATAACAGTATTTTTAACGTTTTTTCTGGATAAAAAGATAAGTTGGTATCTTTTAAATTTTTTAAACTTTATATAAACTTAACGTTCGATTAAGATAAAGATGAGATAGTAGGATAATAAATGACAGAATAAATGAATGAAGATGAAAGGAATAATTCGTTGCTTCATGAATTGATAAGTCATAATAGTAAATCTGTCTGTAAGTGTGAATATTTCACACTTTTGCCGTTTCTATGAAAATAAATCGAGCATTAGAATTGCTGAATTTTTAATTAAATTGCTGAATTAAACGTAACACATTCCAAGGTGCCATTAGGCCTGAGGTCGACGTCTGATAAATTCGATCGGCTAATGAATTTATGTCGCGACCTTGCGTGGCGTTACGGAGTTTGTAAAATCAGCGATTTATGTTAAGTGGACGAGCACATGGTCGTTAATGGTTAATCACCAAGTTTAATCAAGCGCCGGGTACGCGCGGTACAGTAGATTGAGTAGACACTGGTTGGGCTCGCTAGAGAAGCTGAAAGCTAGAATCCGACGCGTAAGAAATTGCCGTCTTTCCGTCTCATCTCCCGAGCGCTACTTCGGCGCTAAATCGGGACCGCCATTAATCCGCCGCGTCGTCTGATTCGCAATCAATATAATGCTTGTAATTAACGCTGTCATATTTATAAATGGGCCGCTTAATCAATAGCTCGTTAACGAACGTATCGGCTTCTCCGAGATTGTTACACGCTAATTCCTTTTTTCCTTTCTCAATGACAGTCATGGATAATAAGTATATGAAGAAAGAAACAACATTATACACATGTATGTATATACAGTAATAACTGAATAAAATTGGATGTTATATCGAATTAAGAGAGAGTACATACTACATTGAAAGTACAAGCAGGAATAATAATAAGTATTCATAACTTGTCAGTCTACAAATAAAAAAAGCGAATAAATCGAAATCGATAAAAGAGATGTAAAGAATTGACGTGTAATTAAAAATCCAATTTATCAACTGTATATGTTGCAGAAGCTTTTAATTTAAAATATTGAAAATCTCGATAAAAGGTTCAAAGGAAAAATAAGCCAGTTTCGCGAAATGTATAGACATAATCCATCTTCATTCATGTTCTGTGCCTTCTAATTGAACCTTTCGATTTCAAGTTATAACTGAACAAAACACACTGACGTGGCGTTAATTCAAGAGTAAGATATCTTCATCGAGTTAACTCAAGAGTAAAGAGTCTTCATCGAGTTACACTCTCGAAACCAAACTCGAAACTCGCAGCTTTAAACACGTTGGATAACACTCTCCGGCGCTAATTAGGCATCTCCCACGAAATTTTCACCGCAGATAAAATCAGCCTACACACATGACTTGCGCGATCTATTATTTTTATTCGCGAACGGTTTATCTTACGTAAGGAGAAAGCAGCGACCGTGGACGTGTCTTCCCACAGGCGAACGGGCTCGTCGTGCCTTAGCACGACGTGCCTTAGCGTAGTAGGCGCTAATCGACATTGGGCGGACGAAAATTGATTCATTATCGAGCCTGTCGCGCGCATCGTCGCGAATACATACATACATACATATAATTTCTTAGTTGCGAATATATCTAACAAATCATTCCCGCCGCCCATGTTAGTTATACTCTCATTCAGTGCATTCGCACTGGGCGGTGAAATAATGGACTCTGACATCGTAAGAAGACTGACTCTGTGCATCGTAAGAAGATAATAGAGTTAAAGAAAAAGATTCCTTGACGTGTAAAGTCATAATGAGAGAAATGCCAATGACAGTTTAAGCTGCTTAACTGACATGCGTTATATTAATTAGTTTGTAATAAATACAGTCAAAAATTTTAGTTCATTTCTTCAACGGTTATAAAAGAAATGGCTTCGCAATAAATCGAAACATTTAAGCAGTTTTTTTTTTTAATTATGCATCTAAAATTGCATATATGATTTATAATTTATTCGTATCTTATTATCATAGCGGAAGTTAACTATACTGATTCTGCAAATAAATTCGAGATTAGTGTATTGCATGCATTAATTGCGATTAGGAGAGCATTTATTTGGGTTCCGTAAGCGGCAGATACTTCCTCGGATGATCGTGGCGTTAGAATCGTTGACAGATTTATGGCGTCATTGTCGCGATTTTAGTACCGGGACACCTGGACAGCGAGTGAAACCTCGCCGCGAAGCATCTCGTCGAGGTCATCGACGAGAACCTCGAGAACGAGGCCCGCTGTTCAGCGGCGATTTGCGCCTACCGAAGTCGCATAGTCTTCGTGCTACTTCTTCAGCAGCTACGCGAAGAATACACAACTGCGCTATTTCCAGAAAGTCGCGTTTCTCTCGCCTTTCCTTGTGGGAACTCGTCGTCGATCGTCGTCGTTGTCGGTGTCGTGTAAAAGACCGCCTCGAAAACGCTTTTACAACCTCGGTCGCTCGGTTTCCATAAACACGCAATTAGCAGCCTCTCGCGAACCTTTGTCTCCCGAAGGTTTGTCCCCGTCTAACGGACTTCTTAAGCGGTTAGCTAAGTTACGCCGTGCTTTCGGGGAAACGACACGTTTCCTCGTCCTGGGACTTGGAACGCGATTTCCTCGCGCAGTCGCAATCCGCGTCGATCGTATCGTCGTCCCTTCCGCGCGCTTCGGACACTGTAAATCGTAAACTAAGACGACAAACTTCGCATCGTTTACGCGATTCAATGGCGCAAACTACGCGCGACTGTCATGCGCGGGAATGTAATCTCCTGAGATATCGTTGGATTTAATTGCGCGCAAGCACGAGTGGAGCGACGTCGCGCGGGATTACACTCGGGAGAGAGAGAAAGAGAGAGAGAGAGAGAGAGAGAGGCTTTCAGGGCGAAGGACGCGATTTTCAGCTCGCGTAGGTTTCCGTCGTGTAGTATCGTGCTCCGCGCATAAGCGGACGTCTCTTCCGTAGATCGTGAGATTAATAAGACGGCATAGCTCACGCTAATACCGTGGAATGTGCGCGCCGCGAATCGCGAATACGGGTTAAAAAACGAGCGGAAGCGCGCGACGGTCCGGTGATTCTTCGATCTCGACGCGGTGAGGACCCGATTCAATCTTGCTTTCCTGAATACTAATTATTGCTGGGAATGCGCGCGACGGAGAGATATCTCGCGGATGTTTGCGACACAAACGCATGTGTGCGATTCTAATACGAGACGAAAGAGAAACGGGGAAGAAGAGAGAGGGAAGATGTATTAACATGTGGCGCACGTATCCCAAGCGAGAATTGATGCGTTTCGAGAGCCGATCATGAATGCGTACGATTGATTAAACGAACGACAGGCTGCGATGCAGATAACTGTTCAGCAAGTGGCTTTTAAACCTTTTTCTTTCATCGTGGAATTTATTGATCTAACTGTCTTTAATCCAACGCGATTTTAATGCAACGCACCATGTCTGTTTTCATATGGAATAACTTGCAAGAATTTCACCCGCCAGGAACTATTAAAATTTACTTTTCTGTAATCGATAAACATTAATATCAAATAAATTAAGAACATAAATGTTAATCAATGTTAAGAATATAAATATAATGAGTTTTAAAATCTTAGGAAGAGAAATGCATTTCTAAATTATTCAATATAAAATCTTTTTTTTTTTCAAATTTGTTTTACGAAGAAATAAATAATTTATTTGTTATTTGTTGTATTTGCAATATTTCTCTAGATGAGAAGTAGATTTTGCAGAGAAAAAATTAACAACATTGCGAAAAATGTCTTACTAATTGATAGAAATCGCTAAAGAACTTCTATCAATCATGACAATGACCTTTATATCGCAAGCAACCTGAAAACCTCTGTTGCAATTAATTCTAGTACTGACAAGAGCATCCCTATAGTATTCAAACGGATTTCAATTATGAACCCGCAAATTTGTCATAATATCAGCTTATTATCCACGACTGTCTATGCTTTCTTCTACGATCGTTTCGTAGGATGCAGCGCTTGCGAAAGTAAACCCACGTCGACGGGCAGAACACTCAAAGTGGTTAATGTCACCTATGCGGCACCATGAGTGACCGTTAACGAGATGTAATCATTGTGCTCGGCGGACTGATTGATATTCAGGCGCGTCGTAAAGTCGATTTAATTATCACGGCATTAGCGTCGGGATCTCGCGCTACGGGCACGTTACACGTACGTTCGGTGAATCCCTAGTAGACAGCGCAGTTTGGCGTCACGTATACGCATCCCGCGTGAGACGTATTATTACGCCGGGATCGCGATACTATAGTTATCACATTCGTATTTATGAGGGTGAATATTCTGATCATCGGATCATCAAATCGCCGGCTTTCAGTTCGTTGAAATGCGAAGCGACAGATGAATTATTTGGTTCTCAATGTGTTGTTATGTTTAAAATATGTTCAGAGCTTTGTCTTAATTCTTCTTTCCGTAAAATATATTTTTGCATGCAGACGACAGCCGAAATGCTAATTAATCAGCGCTAATCAATACTTCATATGTTAATTATATCATTTCTCTAGAAAAGAAAAATCGCACTCGGAGAAAGTCGCTTGGCGCTTTTCCTATCTCAATAAGTGATTTAAAATAAATTATTCATGCCGTCAATTCGCGAA